TTTTGCAGCCCTGCCACAGGGGGCCGGAGGAACAGGGTGGGCCTCAGGGACCGGCCCTGGGCGTATGGGAGCTGAGCCCTGAGCCAGGAACCTTGGCAGTCAGCTTAGGTCCAGTGCCCTGGATGAAAATCGGGCTGGCTCCCAAGGAGGAGGGGGCTGTTGAGGGCCAGTGAACCTCAGTGGTGAGAAGAGGCCTGGAGAGGCGGGGGAGGTCAGGGCTTGGGGTGAGTGGGTGGAGCTGGGTACAGAGCTCCTCCCCATTCTGGGGTTTAGGATGAGATTCCTTAGTGATCAGAGAAGATTATGGTTCCAGCAACAAAATGGACAGTCAGGAAGAAAAGCATGTTGGAGAGAAAAGGTGATGAGAGAAAAGGTGGCTAGTGTTGAAATCGAGGTGCTCCCCTGAAACTGGGTGTGTGAGCCTGGGTTCAGGGCAGAGGTCAAGGTCAGTGATCAGTGGAAGTCCTCGGTGGGGTGACCGCAAGAGCAGTGGGACCAGAGGAACCCCAGCCCTTGGGACGGGGAGACAGAGCAGAGGCCGTGAAGAGCGAGCGTCCCAGCTCTCTGCGCCCCTCGCCCACAGGAGGGGTGCTCTCGGCCCGCACACCCTACTGAGGGTTTTGCTGGCCTTGCGCTGCAGCCCTGAGCATTGGGGGGCTGACGTCTCAGACACCTGTGTGAACACCTGTGTGCCAGACACACGCAGACTTGGGGATGTGGTAGTGAACCTGGACTGGACCTCCTCCTCGAGCTGACACCTGTGTCCACTGTTGCGGAAGAAATTTCCCTCCATCTTTCTAGCTCCTTCTGACTTGAAAAGAATTACCTTGAACTGAGACAGATGAACAGGAGAAAATCAAAGCTTAATAACATGTCTACATGGGAGAGACCCCAAAAAACTGAGTAACTCCAAAAGTGGCCCAAACCCTCACATTAAATACCATGCTCAGCTAAAGACAAAAGAAGAAGTTGGGGCAGTGGTTTGGGACTTCAGAGGTGAGAAAGCCAGTTGACATGGAGAAGGAAAAGTAAATGTTTGGAAACCAGTGTTTCCTGGGCTGGGCAGGGATAACGGGACTGGTCTCCTAGGTCTGTCTGCCTGGTTTCCCCACCATACCCAGCCCGCATTCTTCACAGAGATCTCTGGAAACTGTGGTATTTGGGGAACTGGCCCTCTATCGAAATTCTTTTAGGCATTTGAGGGAAGGTTGATGGTTCTTCCTGAATCTCTTGGGCCTTGATTGTTTTCAGCTCAAAATTATCCACACGGCAAAGAGACAATTTGGGGGCAAGCTTCCTCCCTGCACTACATCAGATGGGAAGCCCCCGGTGGTAGGGACCATGCTCCCTGCCCCTGCCCAAGACTCCAGCTGCCGGCACCGCCCTGGGTGCCCATCCCCGAGTTCCCAAGGAGGGTACTCCTCCCCAGCCCTCCCACCATTTCCCAGCACCCCAGTCCTCCCATGGAGTCCCTCCCCCCATGCACTTCTGTCCAAAGAGCTGGAAGGGTCGCTGTCCCTGATCCTGGGCTCTGATCCTGCAGCCCTGGGTTCCTGAACTCACCCTGTGTCAGGCACTGAGCTGTGCCTCCCTGATTCCCCATAAGTAACCTGTGATGGAGCTTCTGCTTTTGTCCCCATTTTACAGATGCAGAAGCGAAGGTTTACAAAGGCTAGCTCCCTTGCCCAAGGAACACACAACAGTGAGTGGCAGGGTCAGGAAAGGACTAAGCCTACCTGCCTCAGGACCCCAGCCCAAAACCAACCTCGAGCTTCTCAACTTGTCCCAGACTACTGCCTTCAGAGGCAGCTGGGTGCTTGTTAAATATTCCTGTTCTTGTGCCCCATCCTCAGGTCATGATTCTTTGAGTTGGGGTGGCGCTGGAAAATCGGATTTTGCAAATGCTCCCCCCTCCCCCCACCCTAATGGACTCTAAAACTTCAGTTGTGCCTTCTGTGTCTGACTCCTGCTTTTTCAAAAAAATTGGGCTTTTTGGGGGGGGGGTTGAAATTTCCGGGGGGTTAAGACTTGACACATTCAATACGAGGGCCTAGGTTCGATCCCTGGTCAGGGAACAAAGATCCTGCAAGCCCTGTGATGTGGCTAAAGAAAAAATATTTTGGTGAGCTAAATCTTACATACAAAAGAACATATAAAAACTACATGCGGGGACTTATAGAGCTGATGGAGAAGCTCTATACAGTCAGCAAAAACAATACCAGGAGCTGACTGTGGCTCAGATCATGAACTCCTTATTGCCAAATTCAGACTCAAATGGAAGAAAGTAGGAAAAAACCACTAGACCATTCAGGTATGACCTAAATCAAATCCCTTATGATTATACAGTGGAAGTGACAAATAGATTCAAGGGATTAGATCTGATAGACAGAATGCCTGAAGAACTATGGACAGAGGTTCAGATCAAGACCATCCCCAAGTAAAAGAAAGACAAAAAGGCAAAATGGCTGTCTGAGGAAGCCTTAGAAATAGCTGAGAAGAGAATCTAAAGGCAAAGGAGAAAAGGAATGATATACGCATTTGAATACAGAGTTCCAAAGAATAGCAAGGAGAGATAAGAAAGCCTTTCTCAGTGATTAATGCAAAGAAATAGAGGAAAACAATAGAATGGGAAAGACTAGAGATCTCTTCAAGAAAATTAGAGATACCAAGGGAACATTTCATGCAAAGATGGGCTCAATAAAGGACAGAAATGGTATGGACCTAACAGAAGCAGAAGATATTAAGAAGAGGTGGCAAGAATACACAGAAGAACTATACAAAAAAGATCTTCATGACCCAGATAATCACGATGATGTGGTCACTCATCTAGAGCCAGACATCCTGGAATGTGAAGTCAAGTGGGTCTTAGGAAGCATAACTAGGAACAAAGCTAGTTGAGGTAATGGAATTCCAGCTGAGCTATTTCAAATCCTAAAAGATGATGCTGTGAAAGTACTGCACTTAATATACCAGCAAATTTGGAGAACTCAGCAGTGGCCACAGGACTGGAAAACGTCAGTTTTCATTCCAGTCCCAAAGAAAGGCAATCCCAAAGAATGCTCAGACTACTGCACAATTGCACTCATCTCACACGCTAGCGAAGTAATGCTCAAAATTCTCCAAGCCAGGCTTCAACAGTAGCCTGGCCATCAACTTCAGATGTTCAAGCTAGATTTAGAAAAGGCAGAGGAACCAGAGATGAAATTGCCAACATCTGCTGGATCATCAAAAAAGCAAGAGAGTTTCAGGAAAACATCTACATCTGCGTCATTGACTATGCCAAAGCCTTTGACTGTGTGGATCACAAGAAACTGTGGAAAATTCTTCAAGAGATGGGAATACCAGACCACCTGACCTGCCTCTTGAGAAATCTGTATGCAGGTCAAGAAGCAACAGTTAGAGCTGGACATGGAACAATAGACTGGTTCCAAATTGGGAAAGAAGTACATCAAGGCTGTATGTTGTCACCGTGCTTAAAATAATATGCAGAGTACATCATGAGAAACGCTGGGCTGGAAGAAGCACAAGCTTGAATCAAGATTGCCGGGAGAAATATCAATAACCTCAGATATGCAGATGACACCACCCTATGGCAGAAAGTGAAGAAGAAAGAGCCTCTTGATGAAAGTGAAAGAGGAGAGTGAAAAAGTTGGCTTAAAACTCAGCTTTCAAACAATGAAGATCATGGCATCTGGTCCCATCACTTCATGGCAAATAGATGGGGAAACAATGGAAACAGTGACAGACTTTCTTTTCTCAGGCTCCAAAATCATTATAGATAGTGACTGCAGCCATGAAATTAAAAGATGCTTGCTCCTTGGAAGAAAAGCTGTGACCAACTTAGATAGCATATTAAAAAGCAGAGATGTTACTTTGCCGACAAAGGCCCATCTAGTCAAAGCTATGGTTTTTCCAGTAGTCATGTATGGATGTGAGAGTTGGACTATAAAGAAAGCTGAGCGCCGAAGAATTGATGCTTTTGAACTGTGATGTTGGAGAAGACTCTTGAGGGTCTCTTGGACTGCAAGGAGATACAACCAGTCCATCCTAAAGGAAATCAGTCCTGAATATTCATTGGAAGGACTGATGCTGAAGTGGAAACTCCAATACTTTGGCCATTTGATGCGAAGAGCTGACTCATTGGAAAAGGCCCTGATGCTGGTAAAGATCGACGGCAGGAGGAGAAGGGGACGACAGAGGATGAGATGGTTGGATGGCATCACTGACTCAATGGACATGAGTCTGAGCAGGCTCCAGGAGTTGGTGATGGACAGGGAGGCCTGGCGTGGTGTATTCCATGGGGTCGCAAAGAGTTGGACACGACTGAGTGACTGAACTGAACTGGGGTTCTACCTGGTGGTCCAGTGGCTAAGATTTCTCACTCCCAATGCAGAGGCCCAGGTTTGATGCCTGGTTGGGGAACTTGATCCTGCATACCACAACCAAGACACAGTATAGCCAAATAAATAAATACATATATTTTTTATAAACCTACATGGAAGTTCAAAGAATAATTACAACAGGAGCCCCCATGTGATGACCCATGGTGGCCCTCTTTTTCTGTTTTCGAGGTGCCAAATCTAAGATAGTAGTCTCTGATACTCACCCTTGTCTTTCTTTGTAGCTCTCCCACACATGTGTTCCTCCCTTGACACTATGAGTTTTGCCTGTTTGAGACCCGACACAGATAGTTTGTGTTTTATGAGTTCTAGCTCACCTGCTTCTTTTGCTGTGAGATTCACCATGTGGATGCACACAGCAAAGGGTTTATTGTTGTTTCTACACCAGCCTGTGTCTTGTGCGAGTTTATGTCCTAGCGGGCTGCGGGGCGGTGGGGGGGACTGAAAATAGAGTGACTGTGCAGTGATCCCCTGTGGGCTCTGGGGTGGGAAGCCCCCAGGTTGCTGTCTGGGGAGGCCTCTGCCCCAGGCCCTGTCCTGGGCCATCCGGGTCTCCGCCTCCCTGGAAAGTTCATTCCGTTCTCTGTGTCCACTTCCAGGATGCCGAACTGGGGAGGAGGCAAGAAGTGTGGGGTGTGCCAGAAGACGGTGTACTTTGCCGAAGAGGTCCAGTGCGAAGGCAGCAGCTTCCACAAGTCCTGCTTCCTATGCAGTGAGTGCCCGCCCAGACCAGCTGTCGCCATGGGGATGACAGGCCTGTCAGCCCCTGGGGGATGGTCCTCGGGAGGGATGGTCGTAAACAGCCTGACATTTGGCTGGAGCGCAGCGGGGCGGGGAAGCGCTTCAGGGCCCCTGTGTTCCTCAGAAGCTGTTTTCTAAGGCGCAGGCGGGGGCTGTGGGGGGCTGGCCCACTGAGCTGGAGGGGGTGGACACACCAGGGCCTGAGCGCCAAGCCGGAAAGACCCGGTGGGGAAAACTTCCCACTCACTTTGTCTTGCCTCTCTCCCTACCACAATCCTGGCAATTAAGAGCAAGACGCTTTTAGCCCAGAGTTTCACCAACCCCTGGACCCAGATTACCCCTTGTTAGAAGTCCACAGAAATCACAGATGTGGAGGACACACTAGTCGGGGGAGAGCAGGACGGGGGCAGAGGATTAAAAGGTGCAGACTGTTGTGTGTCAGATAAGAAAGCTCCGAGGAAGCACTGCAGGCACAGGCCGCTGCAACAGTCACGGGCGAGTGACTGAAAGCGGCGAGCCTCTGTCGCGCAGCTGGCGCTTCAGCACACAGCGAGTCGGCAACAAGCACTTGCCGTTCAGTTGCCCATCCGTGTCCGGCTCTGTGTGACCCCAGGGCCCCCAGCATGCCAGGCCTCCCTGTCCTTCACCGTTCAGTTGCCCATCCGTGTCCGGCTCTGTGTGACCCCAGGGCCCCCAGCATGCCAGGCCTCCCTGTCCTTCACCGTTCAGTTGCCCATCCGTGTCCGGCTCTGTGTGACCCCAGGGCCCCCAGCACGCCAGGCCTCCCTGTCCTTCACCGTTCAGTTGCCCATCCGTGTCCGGCTCTGTGTGACCCCAGGGCCCCCAGCACGCCAGGCCTCCCTGTCCTTCCCCGTTCAGTTGCCCATCCGTGTCCGGCTCTGTGTGACCCCGGGGGCCCCCAGCACGCCAGGCCTCCCTGTCCTTCCCCGTTCAGTTGCCCATCCGTGTCCGGCTCTGTGTGACCCCAGGGCCCCCAGCACGCCAGGCCTCCCTGTCCTTCACCGTTCAGTTGCCCATCCGTGTCCGGCTCTGTGTGACCCCAGGGCCCCCAGCATGCCAGGCCTCCCTGTCCTTCCCCGTTCAGTTGCCCATCCGTGTCCGGCTCTGTGTGACCCCAGGGCCCCCAGCATGCCAGGCCTCCCTGTCCTTCACCGTTCAGTTGCCCATCCGTGTCCGGCTCTGTGTGACCCCAGGGCCCCCAGCACACCAGGCCTCCCTGTCCTTCACCGTTCAGTTGCCCATCCGTGTCCGGCTCTGTGTGACCCCAGGGCCCCCAGCACGCCAGGCCTCCCTGTCCTTCACCGTTCAGTTGCCCATCCGTGTCCGGCTCTGTGTGACCCCAGGGCCCCCAGCACGCCAGGCCTCCCTGTCCTTCACCGTTCAGTTGCCCATCCGTGTCCGGCTCTGTGTGACCCCGGGGGCCCCCAGCACGCCAGGCCTCCCTGTCCTTCACCGTTCAGTTGCCCATCCGTGTCCGGCTCTGTGTGACCCCAGGGCCCCCAGCACGCCAGGCCTCCCTGTCCTTCACCGTTCAGTTGCCCATCCGTGTCCGGCTCTGTGTGACCCCAGGGCCCCCAGCACGCCAGGCCTCCCTGTCCTTCCCCGTTCAGTTGCCCATCCGTGTCCGGCTCTGTGTGACCCCGGGGGCCCCCAGCACGCCAGGCCTCCCTGTCCTTCACCGTTCAGTTGCCCATCCGTGTCCGGCTCTGTGTGACCCCAGGGCCCCCAGCACGCCAGGCCTCCCTGTCCTTCACCGTTCAGTTGCCCATCCGTGTCCGGCTCTGTGTGACCCCGGGGGCCCCCAGCACGCCAGGCCTCCCTGTCCTTCACCGTTCAGTTGCCCATCCGTGTCCGGCTCTGTGTGACCCCAGGGCCCCCAGCACGCCAGGCCTCCCTGTCCTTCCCCGTTCAGTTGCCCATCCGTGTCCGGCTCTGTGTGACCCCGGGGGCCCCCAGCACGCCAGGCCTCCCTGTCCTTCACCGTTCAGTTGCCCATCCGTGTCCGGCTCTGTGTGACCCCAGGGCCCCCAGCACGCCAGGCCTCCCTGTCCTTCCCCGTTCAGTTGCCCATCCGTGTCCGGCTCTGTGTGACCCCAGGGCCCCCAGCACGCCAGGCCTCCCTGTCCTTCACCGTTCAGTTGCCCATCCGTGTCCGGCTCTGTGTGACCCCAGGGCCCCCAGCACGCCAGGCCTCCCTGTCCTTCACCGTTCAGTTGCCCATCCGTGTCCGGCTCTGTGTGACCCCAGGGCCCCCAGCATGCCAGGCCTCCCTGTCCTTCACCGTTCAGTTGCCCATCCGTGTCCGGCTCTGTGTGACCCCAGGGCCCCCAGCACGCCAGGCCTCCCTGTCCTTCACCGTTCAGTTGCCCATCCGTGTCCGGCTCTGTGTGACCCCAGGGCCCCCAGCACGCCAGGCCTCCCTGTCCTTCCCCGTTCAGTTGCCCATCCGTGTCCGGCTCTGTGTGACCCCAGGGCCCCCAGCATGCCAGGCCTCCCTGTCCTTCACCGTTCAGTTGCCCATCCGTGTCCAGCTCTGTGTGACCCCAGGGCCCCCAGCACGCCAGGCCTCCCTGTCCTTCCCCGTTCAGTTGCCCATCCGTGTCCGGCTCTGTGTGACCCCAGGGCCCCCAGCACGCCAGGCCTCCCTGTCCTTCACCGTTCAGTTGCCCATCCGTGTCCGGCTCTGTGTGACCCCAGGGCCCCCAGCACGCCAGGCCTCCCTGTCCTTCACCGTTCAGTTGCCCATCCGTGTCCGGCTCTGTGTGACCCCAGGGCCCCCAGCACGCCAGGCCTCCCTGTCCTTCACCGTTCAGTTGCCCATCCGTGTCCGGCTCTGTGTGACCCCAGGGGCCCCCAGCACGCCAGGCCTCCCTGTCCTTCACCGTCTCCCGAAGTTTGCCTGAGTTCATGTCCTTGGGCAGTGGACACGGACATGTCAACTAACCCTCAATTAAACATACACTCACGGGCGGCTGCGTCTGGGGAGGGGCTGGGCTCCCCTGGCGTCTCTGGGCGGGAGGCCTCTCCCCTCAGCCCCAACCACCGCCCAACGGTCCGGGTGAGGGGATGTTGACGTCATACTGACGGCCGGGAGGAGACAGGCCCCGGTCACTGCCTGGTAGGCAGGCGCCTAGGTGCCCGGGGTGCAAGCCGCGGCCGGGGCCCAGGTGTCCTGAGCGCCCGGCCCTGGAGGTGGGGGACGTCCGCAGGCTCCTGACTGACGGGCTCACAGCCAAGGGGCTTAGAGGAGGTGACCTGTTTCCCTTGAGCCCAGGCGGTGGCGCTGGGCGGGCAGAAGTGTGTCAGCTGAGCCTTGAGCCTTCAGAACCAGTGGGTGAGAGTCCACATGTGAATTTCCTTTCTGTTCTCTAGGTGCTGAGAGTCAGGTGCCTCCTCTCTCTGCATTTTCTCCACATTACAGGGGAGAAAAACAACACCTACTTCATGGGGCAGGGCTGTGGGAACTGAGAGGAATGGGTCAGAAAACAAAAGGAGCTCTTAGAGCAGTTGTGAGTGTTCAGTCAACGACAGCCGCTCCCTGACACGCACACACATGCACACACACACACACATGTGCACACATCCACACAGACATGTGCACACACAGACATGCACACATACACACCCATGCACATGTGCACACACACATGCATGTGCACGCACACACGTCCATGCACATGTGGACACAGGCACACATGTGCGTGCGCGCACACACACCCATGCACATAGACACGTGTGCGTGCACACATGAACACTTGCACATACAGGTACACACACACACACACGGTGCAGGGGATCCCCAGCAAGAAGCCTAGGACTCAGGGTGGCCCCAAACTGTTGGGGAGGCTCGGGAACTGGGCCCTGCCGCCCGCTGTGGCTCCGCTGTTTCCGGAGCCCATGCTCCTGAGCGGGACCCAGGCCCCCGGGGCCGCCTGCCCCTGAAGGAGCAACAGCTCCCGCAGGCCTCGGGCGGGCCAGCCGGAAGCCACCTCCAGAGCAGGCCGCGCAGGCCCCGCAGGCCCCGCAGGCCCCGCTCCCGCCGATGCTGACTGAGGGCTGTGCCGGCTGCAGGTGGGAAGTGAGCTCGGGCGGAGCCTTTGGCATCCGGCTGGGAGGAGGCCGACAGCCATGCCGTTTCATCAGCAGCTCACTGTGCTCAGGAATTTTCAGGCTATTTATTTTTCTCAGAGGGCATAAGAGGGCTTGGTGCTGGCCAGGGAGACGGTCCATACTACTGGCCCCAAGGACCCCTCTCCACCGTCACATGTGGCTCTGGTCACCAACGGCAGCTGCCGGGGAGGAGCGGCTTCCAGCGGGGCTGTCAGGGAAGCCAAGGGTGCGGGGCTGGGGGGTTGGGACAGATGCTGGGCTGGGCTTGGAGCGTGCGCCCTGGTGTCCGAGAAGCGGCAGCCAGTCCCCAGCCCGGGAGGCCTTGGCTCTGTGGGCACCGGCCCCAAGGCTGCGTTGTCTCTGAGCTGTGACAGCCTTGTCCTGGGGCAGGCCAGCCCATGGGAAGGCAGAGCTGGTGTGGCCTTGCCCTGAGGGGACAGCTGCTGGAACGGGGCTGCGCCCCAGAACCCAGAGCCACAGGGTGCTCACAGACCCAGCCACAGCGGCATCCCCTTGCCTGCAGGCTGTGGTTCACGCCTGACCCCCTGAAAGGGCTCCTGGCTGGCAGAGCAGAGCAGGCCTCAGCCTAAGTTCTTTTTGGTTGGTTTCTGCTTAACATGATTTGGTAGAAATGCATTTAGGCCATCATTCAAGACTCCCCCTCATTGGGAATTTGGGGGAGCCTGCAGGTGCCAGATGGCAAGGCCTTTGGGAGGTGTCACTCGTAGACCCCGGGGTCCCCTCTGAGCTGAATCCCCAGGTCCCTGCAGGGAAGTTTGGCCCAAGGAGACCTCAGTCCCCGGGCCACTCAGTCTCGCTTGCTGCCTCCCGTCTAGTTTTAGGAATTTCCAGGTCACTCTGGGTCTTACAGGAAGCAGTTCCAGAATGACTCCGGGCTTCCCACCCTAGAAGGGAATGCTGGAGCCCTTGGCTGGCTGTGCCCGCTTCCTCCAGGCCGGAGTCAAGCCCTGGGGAGGCGGCAGGACAGCCCATATTTGGTTGCCCACATGCTGGAAGAACATGGGGATCTCACAGGCAGGACCAGAGGGTCCTTATTTAGTCTGAAGTCTCCAACCTGGGCCCACGGGTGGGGGTGGGGCAGAGAGCTGGCCTTTAAAGGCAAGGGGAAGGCTGGGAATTCCCTGCAGATCCAGTGGTTAGGACTCGATGCTTTCACTGCCAAGGGCCAGGTTCAGCCCCTGCTCAGGGAACTAAGATCCCAAGAGCCACATGGGGGCCGGGTGGGGGGGCGGGCGGGGAGGAATCTACCTAAAGGCAAAGGAACTGGCAAGGGGCACGGAGGTGAGCTGAGTGCTCCTCAAGAGGAGGAGAGGCTGGCTCCTCCAGGGGTCCCTCTTCAGAAGGACGTGTTTGAGGACGTGGTCCCGGTGGGCACAGTGACTCCCCCATCTCAGGGCCTTCGTGGAACCTGATCGTTATCCTAGGCCCAAACCTACATCAACGGGACGTGAGTCTCTGGAGAGAAGCACTTGGGGGTTGGACACTGACGGTCTTCTGGGGCCTGGCCCTTCCCGCCCTTGTGTTCCCAGGGTGCTAACTCTGGGTCACACTGTTGGGGCAGCCAATGTTCATGATGACCTACTGTGCGCAGGGCACTGTGCTAAGCACTTCCCAGGCAAGGTCTCATTTAATTTTCAGCCATCTATCAGGGGGCACCGTCGTCATCTGCTGGTAGGGACACATCTGCTGGCTGGGAAGGCACTGTAGCCTGGCCAGGACTCTCCCTGGACGTGGGCTAGCCTGGGTTCCGTGTGACCCTGGGCTCCACACTGTCTCACTCTGGATCACGGTGCTGCTCTGAGACCCACAGGAGGCTGCGGGCACTCTGCAGGCCTTCCAGTGTTCCCCATTCCAATCTCCCTGCACCCCGGAGTCAGGGAATTCTCCCAGCATCTGACCTCCTGTGGCCAAGTGATTTCCAACTAGAAACTTAAAATCCCGTTGTCGTGATGAACACAACCTCTATATCATTTCTAAGCCAGTTGCGCTGGGCGCCGAATAAATGTGACTTTCCCCCGGGAGCGTCTCCACCCTGCCCTCTGCCCCCGCACCCATGGGCGTCCCTTCTGAATCAAATCGCGGGAGGGAGGACAGCCTTGCCCTTCTTGCTTCTCCTCTTCTGTTGGGACCCACGGTGTCTGTCAAGGGCAGTAAGGCCCGGCACACCCCCTGGGGCGTGGGGTCGGCCTAGGCCGCTGGCCCTGTAAACTCGGGAAGTTCTCAGGGTGTGGGGGCGAGGAAGCCCACCCAGCTCTGGGAGAGGCACTGGGCCAGCATCCATAGGCCCTCCTCCCCTCCCAGTTCCCTGGCCACCCCAACCCCATCACCAGGCCCCCGGCTCCTGGGAGGTCAGGATGTTGCGTGCACAGCGTCCCAGGGAGCTTTGGTGGCGGGGGCTAGCCGTGACCCGCTGGCCCTGTGGCCCCCGCAGTGGTCTGCAAGAAGAACCTGGACAGCACCACCGTGGCCGTGCACGGCGAGGAGATCTACTGCAAGTCCTGCTACGGCAAGAAGTACGGGCCCAAGGGCTACGGCTACGGGCAGGGCGCGGGCACCCTGAGCATGGACAAGGGGGAGTCGCTCGGCATCAGACACGAGGAGTGAGTACCCCCATCCGAAACAGAGGCCCTACTGTGCGTCAGGCCCTGGCAGAGCAGCAGGGGCAGAGGGGCTGGAGCGGCCAGGCCCCTCCCCGTGTGGAGCCGTGGCCATATTTCCATGCACTGGGAGGAGCCCTGAGAACGGCTGGGCCCCTCTCCCCTGTCCACAGATGAGAAAACCTAGCCAGCCTCGGTGACTCGGAGGCGCCCCACAGCCACTGAGGGTCTGAGCCGGACCACCTCTCAGCCGTGCTCACGGGGTGTCAGTTCCCTTCCTGGAAACGGGTGTCACGAAGCCCCCAGCACCCTCTGACCACTGACCTGCTGTGAGCGGGGTGTTGGCAGTCAGCCCGCCAGCCCCTTGGCCCTGGGGGATGGTCGCAAGTGACGGTGACTTTCCACACTTCGGCAAAGGTCGTCACCTCATGGGAGCGACCTGTCAGCTGATTTCTCCTGGGAAGACTCTAGTAATAGTGCTGCAGGAGCTGGGGGTAGAGGAGGCCAGTTCTTAGCAGACGAGCTGTCAGTGACTCCGGCATTCTAACTGGTGCCGAGGGGAGTCTGACGTCTTGAGGAAGGAATACTGTGGGCCGCTGGTGGGTCCCCTGTCAGCAGAGGTGACCCTCGGGTCCTTGGTGCGTCCCCCGTCAGGGAGGTGACCCTGCAGCCCTGGCAGCGGCGGCCTTGGGGCGGGCTGGGCCAGGTGCAGGCGGGTGGTGCCCTCCAGGCCTGTCCCCCCCACCCCGTGTTGCTCTCTGTACATCCCCTCATGCTCTTCCCTGAGCAGGGCCCCCGGCCACAGACCCACCACCAACCCCAACACGTCCAAGTTCGCCCAGAAGATCGGGGGCTCCGAGCGCTGTCCGCGGTGCAGCCAGGCCGTCTATGCGGCCGAGAAGGTGATTGGCGCTGGGAAGGTAAGGCCGGGCGTGTGCCGGGGGTGGGGGTGGGGGGGGCACACACATTCCTGAAATGTGCATTCTGAAGCTTTGAAGTGTGCTCCCACTGCTCAGGGGAGCCTGGGCCCTGCATGTAGCTCCCCCTTCATTTCAGAGCCCACCACAAAAGGAGTCCCTTTGTCTGTGAGGCTGTCTCCTGTGCCTCCCAGTCTCCAGAGAGATGAATCCCCCATCATAGCAGCCTCACCATTGGTCCATAAAGAAGGCTGAGCACCGCAGAATTGATGTTTTCAAATCGTGCTGGAGAAGACTCTTGAGAGTCCCTTAGACTGCAAGGTGATCCAACCAGTCCATCCTAAAGGAGATCAGTCCTGAATGTTCACTGAAAGGACTGATGCTGATGCTGAAGTTCCAATACTTTGGCCTCCTGATGTGAAGAGCCGACTCATTGAAAAAGACCCTGATGCTAGGAAAGATTGAAGGCAGGAGGAGAAGGGGACAACAGACGATGAGATGGCTGGATGGCATCACCGACTCAATGGACATGAGTTTGAGCAAACTCTGGGAGATAGTAAAGCACAGGGAAGCCTGGCATGCTGCAGTCCAGTGGGTTGCAAAGAATCAGAAACACCTGACTGACTGGACAACAATAGCGCACTTCATAGGGAGCTTCTGATTGATCCATGTCTCCAGAGTCAGGGTCTCCTGACTGCTAAGGGTGCATGGACACCAGCTCTGAAAAGAATGTGCATAGTTGTGTGGGGTCTCATCTCTCTCTGGGAAGAAGATCCATAGCATTCATCAGATTTTCAAAAGGATTTGTGATACAGAAATGTCAAGAACCACCCAAAATCCACAGAAATCCACTCATGTGCTCCCATGGCAGAGTTAGCCAAGGTTGAGGCCTGTCAGAGCCTCCTAGGAGGCAAACTTGGTCTGGCTGTCTTGCCTGCCCCCCACTGCGATATTCCAGTAGAAGCCCCCCACCCCCAGTCACCAAAGTGCAGTGGGACCCTCCCTTAGAGAGGCCGCAGGGAGGGGTGGCCTCAGATGAGCTGTCAGAGGGCCGCAGAGAGGCTTCTTCAGCAGGGGCCTGGAGACGGTGCTGGGCCTTCACACAGATGTGGCCAGGGCCATGTGGTCAGCTGTGGTGCCGCTGGAGCCTGTCTGTGGCCTCTCTGGACCTGAGTCTCTCCCCTAGGGAGGAGGGTTCTCTTGTGGGCAGAGGTGGCGGGAGGAGCCCAGCGTCCGTGCCCGAGAAAGGGCTGAGGAGCAGGACTTTAGGTGCTGACCCCACCAGCGGGACCCGACTGTGTCTGTAGGGACAGTGGTGGTGGTCAGTCCTCCGTCTGCCTGGAGACTGGGGGGCAGCCTGGGCTTCCCTGAGGACGAGCCAAGGCCAGGGTGCCCTCGGCGCGAACACCGAGGCCCCTAGAGCCCTGGGCAGGAGTCAACACGCATGGGCCTGGCTGCCAGGAAGCCCAGGGCCTGCCTTTTCCCTTCCCATCTCTAGCTCAGAAAGGGCAGCTGAGCAAGGGAGCCTCCTTGCCCTTAAAAGGCTTTGTTTTGTTTTGTCCCGTCTGCTGCTGCTGGCCTCCGGCTTTTCGGGCTATGCAGAGCTGTCAGCTGGGAGCTGACGGCTGACCTGGGGTCTGGCTGGCCCCCGCCGGGTGCAGACCGGGGCTGCCTTCCTCTGAGGGGCTGTTGGCCGTGTGGCCTCCGAGCTCCAGAGGGGCTTCTCTGGCCCCCGGCCTTCTCCTGGAGCTCCGTGGACCCTTCCTCCTTCCCGGGTGCCAGGCACTGCCTCTGCACTAGGCCCCTGCCTGGCTGTGGCCTCCCCCTGCAGTGAGGGCCCTCGAGAACTCCAGAGGCCTGGTGACCACAAAAGCCGACCCTGCAGCCAGGCCCCAGCATGCTCCTCACGTCCCCAGTGAGGAATGAGGGGGCCACTGGCCTGGAACCCGGGCCAGGATGGGTCCGAGCCAGACCAGCGGTCCCGGGTGGGAGCTGGGACAAGGCTGGGGGGCCCCGCTTGCCTTTCGTGGGGCAGCTGCTGCACTGGCCCCAGCACCTCCTCCAGGAGGTGGGGGAGGCTGGGCAGACCCCACAGGTGTCTTCGTCACACCTCCAAGGGGATGGGCTGGGGCGGCAGAGTTAATTCTTTCCTTCCCTCCCCAGTCCTGGCATAAGTCCTGCTTCCGATGTGCCAAGTGCGGCAAAGGCCTCGAGTCCACCACCCTGGCTGACAAGGATGGCGAGATTTACTGCAAAGGTGAGCGGCCTTCCCTCAATGCCCTCCCTTCCTGGAGGGCCGATCAGTCAGGCCCATACGCGACGGCCAGTTCCGGCCTTGGAGTCCCTTCCCAAGCGTCTCCTGAGGCCTCTGTGTGCAGCCAGCCGAGAAGGAGCCCGGGTGGGGGTGTGGGGGGACATGCGGTGGACAGAGGGTGGGGCGGGGCGGGTCCTGGGCTCCCTTCCACCTCCTAGCTCTGATTGCAGGTGGCGCTTCTCCTGGGATTTCAGAGGCAGGGCAGTAGCCAGGACGCTCCTCACTGTCGGCGTCGATGTTGGGGGGGCTCTGCTGTGCGCCTCACTGCTCCAGAGCCCCTGGCAGGTGCTGGGGCGGGAGTGGGAGTCCTCACCCCTCTCTTCTCTCTGCAGGATGCTACGCAAAGAACTTCGGGCCCAAGGGCTTCGGCTTTGGGCAGGGAGCTGGGGCTCTGGTTCACTCTGAGTGAGCGCCCCGCGCCCACGCCCCACTGCCCACGCCGTGCTTCTCGTCGCCCCCCACCCCGACGACCTTGAGACCGCCAGGCTTCCTCCCTCCCTCAGTCCTGCATGCGTCGCTAAGGACTCGACCCCAGGGTGTCTGGCTTCCTTGGGTTTGGGCGTCTGCTGGAGGGCCCCCCAACCTGGCCCGCCGTGTCACCAGCGGGCCTCTTGCTCTGGGTGTCCCCCCACCTCTCCCCTCCCCACCTCTTCCCTCCCCTCCTCCCCACTCCCGTCCCCTCCCCTCCCCCTCCCCCCCCCTTCCCTCCCCTCCCATCCTCCTGCCCTCAGAGGCTGAGTGTCCGTCATCGGGGCCCTGCCTGGGGAGAGCCGTGCTCCTTGTGGGGGGCCTCCTGGTGTCCCTCAGAGCAGGCCTGGGGCATCCCCGCCTGGCAGTCACGGGGGACATGCAGATGGGCCCCGAATGGAGGGGCCACCTGCCCTGGCCTATCGCCTTCGAGGCTGTGGGCCACAGTGCCCCCCAGCTCAGAGGTTGTGGGGGGCGGGGCGGGGAAGCAAGCCAGGCCCCAGGGCCCCAGTTCAGGATGTGGTCTGGCCTCCCTGGGCTCGAGCTCCTGTGTGGCAGGGCCCTGATGAAACACCCCTGACCTTATGGCCGCCCAAACCTGAGGGCGCGTCTCTGCCCAGCCTGGGTCCTGAGGCTTCGGGGGCGGGGGGGCAGGCTGCACCCATCAGCGCAGCCCAGTCCCGGGCCCATCCTCAGTATACCTGGCTTGACCTGCAGACGCGGAGGGAGGCACACGCGGCCTGCCTTCACCTGGACACCTGCCCCCACCCTTCTCCTGGGACCCTCGCCCTCTGGCCACACCGCCCACCCCTTCCAGGCCCCAGGTCCGGAGCAGCAGGAGGACGGGGCGGGGCCAGGCCCGCTGACCCCAGGGACAGAGGGTGATGCCACGTGGCGCTGCCTGGACCAAGGGCTGCAGCACGGGCTGTGCTCAAGCTGACCCTGCACCCTGTCAATAAAGCTGTCAGAACAGAGCTGGCGTCTGTCCTGCCCTGGGGGTGGGAGAGCCATTTCCGCTCTGGGGGTGGGGGGACTGGTGTCCTGCTCTCTGGGGGTGGGGGACTGGTGTCCTGCTCTGTGGGGGACTTGATGGGAACAACCAAGTTGGCAGGAGGCCTGGGGAGGGAAAGTGTCTGCTTCCTCCCCAGTGTCCGTTTCTAACTGAACTTAGGCACGGGGTCCAGGCAGCCCAATCCTGCTGCCCCATCCGGGTGTAAGAGCTGTGAGCCAGGCCTCCAGACTGTGCTCAGAACTGTTTCCAGCATGGGAAGCGCCTGAGTGAGAGGGCAGCTCGGCCGCAGGAGCTTTGTGTCAGATCCAGGAAGCTCAGGTCTGCAGGGAGGGTGCAGTGGTATGGAGGAAGGGATGGGGGTTTTCCAGGGGCAGCAGCTCCCAGAGGCTGCTCCCCCAGATTCCAGCGTGTGACCGTGTGAGTGGGGGGGCGGGGCAGCAGCATTCTGCCCCCGGATTCAGCGCCTTTCACGTGTGGAGTTCCTTCCCTCCAGCCCCAGAGTCTAGACTTTCCTCCCAGAGCCATAACGCTGGCTGGGGCTGAGGTATGCTGAGGCCGATTCCTCTTTTCTGAAAATGTGCAGAGGCCGGGCATGCATCCCTCTTCTGAGGGAGAACTAGGAAGGGAGAAACAGGGACAACAGAATCCAAAACGGAGTGGGTCAGACGCCTTTGGGTGGGGAGGGCCTGTCCCCCAGGGCACAGCAGGTGCCCCCTGCCCCCGCCAGGCCCCACAGAGAGGCCACTCAGCTGACCCCAGGTGGAGGCGGCCCTGGGCTCTGAGTCACCTTCTGGGCCACCCCGCCAGTGTCCTAGGGAACTGCACCCGGCTTCCGAAGGGCCGACCTGTCCTCATCTCTCCGGAGGTCACCTGGCCGCACCCTGAATGCCCTTTCTGCAGCCGGGCAGGCTTATGTTTAAGGTTGGCTTCCTGTGCACTCACGAGGTCGCCCTCTGGGCACTTCTGCATTTCCCTCTCAGTAGCAGAGAGAAGCCAGGTTGCTCTGTCCACACTTTCCCCAAAGATCTCAGCTAAATACCCTTGATCTGAGGTCTGCCTTCCACAAAATATCAGAGTCTGAACATGCCTGAGCCATGTTCTTTGCCACTTTATAACAGGGGTTCCCCCGTCCCCTTTCCAATACCATGCCTCTCATTTCTGTCATCAGAATGGCTCTTGTCATCAGTATTTCTACAACATTCTGCTTGGAGTTACTTCTTCCTCTTGCACTGAGACGACTTAGGCTCTTTCTCTAATGTTCGCTCCTTTCTAGGCTCTCACAAGAATCCCCTTTCAAGGTCTGTTCATGACAATGTAGGTTTTTTCCGAGCAGCCTTTCCCAGACCTCTCTAGCCTCTACCCATCACCCAGTTCCAAAGCCACTTTCACAGTTTTAGGTTACAGCAGCACCCCACTGGTTGGCACCAGTTTCTGCCTTGGTCTGTTCAGGCTGTTATAACAGAATGCCACAGTCCAGAGGGGGGGCGCTTGAGGGGGCTTCTAAACAACAGAACTGTACTCCTCCCAGTTCTCCAGGCTGGAAGCCCAAGGTCAAGGTGCCGGCAGGTTCAGTGTCTGGGGAGAGCCTGCCTGCTGGTTCACAGACACAGTCACCTCACCAGGGGGCGGGGGCTATGGCTTCTCAGGGGGGCACTAATCCCACTCAACAGGGCCCCTCACTCAATCCCTAAGCACCTCCCAAAGGCTTCACCTCCCAACGCCACTCCCTTGGGGATTAGCATTTTAACGCAGGAGTTCCGGTCTCCTCGGCCAAGTCAACGGACACGTGAACTTCTGTATGAGCTCGTCTGAGGGCGGCCTGTCTCATGTTGGGGGCTGGGCTCCTCTGCCCACACTGGATTTACAAAACAAGAAGCAGCTGCTTTAACAACAGCAAGTCTGTGCACCACGTCCATAGGACCAGACCCCGGGGAGGAACCCCTGACATACACATGGGTCCTGAACATACAGGACTGGTTTAAACCAGTCAGCACCGCAGAGTGCAGGGAAGTGCGAGGTGAGGTCCCTGGGACAAGGTGCCCTCATCCTGGCACCTCCACTCTGTGCAGCCCGGGATGTGGTCGACCAGATGTCTTCCCAGAAGGGTTTGCACAGTGGGGATGGGGATGGGGTGGGGATGGATAGTTCCACAAACAGATCACCAGAGCGGCCTCTCTGGGAGGGCCCACAGGAACAGCTGGGTGGGGCGTCTGGGCCCCAAAGCTGGGGACAGGCTGCCCTCTGGTGGAGCCACAGCAGAAGGCCGTCGGCCAGCCTCCAACACGAGGGGCAAGCTTGGGACCGCCTGTAACTGGAAGCAGCCTCAGTGGGGAGGGGGCCGGTCGCACCTCTGGGGGTGAAGCTGGGTTAAGGCAGACGCTGTTCCCAGAGGCCGGCTGCCGGCCTGGAAGCCCCTCAGGGCAGCGTGGTGCGGGTGGAGGAGGCCTGCCTGCTGTGAGTGAGGCCAGGCCCCTACACCTGAGTCTCCTGCCTGGGTTCATGATGAATCTCTCTACCCATCACTTTATTCCCTTTCTTGTCAGGATTGAGGTGTATCAAAGGCAAGGGGGGAGCTGAGACCAAGCAGGACCCCCAGGGCCCTCCAAGGACACCCCCTCCTGGTCCCCCGTTTCCTGTCTGCAGAGAAAGGCTTGCTCTCCTGGGCCCTCCTTGATTCCAAAGAGCAGACTCGCCAGTCAGAGACCAGGACCAGGTCCAGGCCCCTGCTCCCCCTGAAGGAGGTAGATTACAATCTGAGGTGTATCTTTGAGCTGTTCTGTAGAAACTAAGACCCTTACCCTGGAGGATGGCAGCTCTGTGCTGACCACAAGCACATAGACCCCAGACTGGCTGGAACCAGAAGGTGGATGTTTGAGAGTCCTGAAATGTCACCCTGTCGCCTCACCAGCAACCAGAAGGAGGCCCAGGAGCTGCTCAGGCATCCCAGAGCCCTCCCCCAGCACTGGCTCTGAAACCCTCGCCTGCAGCTTGCCTGATGGTCCAGTGGTTAAGAATCCACCGTGTAAGGCGGGGGTTCCGGGGTCAATCCTGGTCAGGGAACTAAGATCCTAGGTGCTGCAGAGCAACGAAGCCCGCACGGACCTGGAGAGTCCGTGCACCACGATATAGATTCTATGTGCTGCAGCCAAATAATAAATATCACAAAAAATAAAAAATTTTGCTTGAAAGCCTTTGTCTCTGCAGCCTGAGCTGCCCAGTCTCCTTGCTGGGCACCCTGCAAACGAACTCTGACTCTGAGGCAAACACCAGCTGCCAGAGGGGCTGGGCTGTGGGCACACACTTACTTTGCTTACAAAGTGGGGGTCCCAGAGGAGGTGGTGTCTGTGAGGCTGCACCTTGCAGGTGGTGCCTTGGGGCAGGCCAAGAGGTGGGTACCTCCCAGCCCCATTTCCCAGGGTCCTCAGCACTCCACCCGGCAGCTGGTGCTGTCTCTGAACAGGTAGGTCTGATAATTGGAGACCACCTCCCAGCACTTGCTGCTTCTGCCCCGGAGTCACCAGAACAGCTCCCCATCTGCACCCCCGCTGACTGTCCTGCAGAGATGCTAACTCTGCTTCTGGGAACAGATGTCCCTGCCTCCCGGGGGTCCTGACTGAGGCACAAGGGGCCGGGTGAGAAGGATAAGCGTAGTCAGGGTGGGGGTCCCAGGGCTGGAGAAGTGGACAGGGGGCTTGCACTAAGTCAAGGGCAAAGCAGAGCCACTCCCTTGGAGAAGACCCCCCTGCCAAGGCCAGCTCCCCGCTCGCAATTTTGGACACTTCATGGGTTTCATTCCGCATCCTGTGCACTTAGGGCCACGGCCTCTGTGAAGACCTTAAATGCATTCAGCCTTCTGGGGTGGGTGCTATCATTACTGCCATTTACAAATGATGCAACTGAAGCCAAGAACCAAAGAGTGGCTTGGGATCTGGCTCAAGGTAAACAGAAGAGCAGGATAGAAAGGTAGGAGCTGGGTCTCGGCCCACCTCCTGCACCACCTACCTGACACTCTTCCCTGACTGCTGTAGGCTGGGCGGTGCGGTGTGGTGCTGGAACTGTAGCAGTGCTGGCACTCATACCCTGCGTACCCAGCACAGGTCTGGGTGCTGTCTGACTTGACCCCTCCATCAGCAGTAAGCAGTAGTCATATTACCCCTTTATCCTACAAGAGGAAACCAAGAAGTAGTGAGTGTGTAAGTGACAGAGCCAAGGCTGGAACCAGCTGTGTGACCCTGGGCCAGCCTCCTCCCTCTGGGCATCAGCCTCTCCCGTGTGAATGGAGATGTGACCTCGATTAAGTCCACAGAAGTGCTTCTCAGGCCTGAGAACCTCCTGGGGATCTTGCAAAGCTGAGATTCCAGCTCAGCGGTTGGGTGGGGCCTGAGACCCAGTGCCTCCTGTGGGCTCCCAGTGGAGGGAGGTGCTGAGGCTGTGGCTTCCAGGGCACCTGCCAGCTCTGATGTCCTGAATTTATGGGCCTGCTGAGCCTCCTCCTGGAGGCCAGTAATGGTGAATAAAGTGCTTAGTGGGCATTTTCTGCTTCAGCTGAGCCCGGGCCCTTCCACCCTGTGACCTCATCCTGACCCTTCGGAGGGCTCAAGCGCTGGTCCTAGGCCACTACCACTCGGGGTTACTCCTCCCAGCCCGCGCTCACCCTGTTCCCTGGCAGAACACAGCTCACACCCAGGGCCCACACCGATGCTCCTCCCCACGGATCTCCCCAGGATCACATTCACGAACACACAGGAAACTTCCTCCTTCCCCCAGCCCCTCCCCCTCCTCACTTCTCCTGGACCCCAGTCCCAGGCCGGACAGCTACAGCCGCCTCTAACTGATCTTGACAAAAGGCCCCGATAGGAACATCTCACTTATC